ATGAGGGAAAATTATAAGAAAAGGGATTTGTTTTTATTTTTTACGCTTTTTAAAATTGACAATTGTTTCACGCGTACATATTTTTAATGAGAATGTGCCATGATTAATAAGAATCCTGGAGGACGCTTATATAAAATAATAAATAATAAGTATAAATAAAAAATATGGACACTTTTGGCCTTACAAGCTTCATCACATGTAATTTGTATAATATCGTCAAGAACGCAGTACGAGTGAATGTTTTTTGGGATGTTTTTAGATTTTCGAAACTTGCAATATCCCGGGCGCTATTATTGTATGTCCTATCCGTAGTGGGGTTCAGTATATGGCGAGGAGTTGGTTTCAAGCCGATTCCGTTATTGCATCTACAGTTGTTAGCGGTATTGTTGATATATGCAACATGTAAAGCATATTATGTCAAGATTAATTACGAAGTGAAACCCGATGCCCAAGGTGGAAATCGAACCCACCATTCTGGGAACTGAGGCTATCAATATTGATACTAAGTTACTCTATTATTATTTTAGATTATTATTATAAATAGTATTAATAATATTGTTTAATTTTCTCAACAATGTTAATTTACTTGAAAACAAGGAATTGTATTCATGATGCACCACTTTCTGTTAGTACACATATGTTCTTTTCGCTCTATAAAAGTTACAGATTACACAGTATACACAGATTCATTGCATTTGCTGTAAAAATTGCTAACTGAATTGCAAAACTTTTTTTAAATGCGTCCAAATCGTTCATGAAAAATGAGTTTTGAAATTCAGAAACATAATTTGTGACTAACCCGTTGCAAAAATTGCGGAAGAGATTATTTTTTTAAATTTGAGGTTATGGTTCAATGATAATTGCTTATATGAAATTATTATTATTATTATTATTATTATTAGTAGTAGTAGTAGTAGTAGTAGTAGTAGTAGTAGTAGTAGTAGTAGTAGTAGTATTAGTATTAGTATTAGTATTAGTATTAGTATTAGTATTAGTATTAGTATTAGTATTATTAGTATTATTATCATGAATAATTCTGACTATTCCGCCAGCAGACAAACGGCGATGGCAACCGTACCATCAGTACCCTGACCCTGGTGCCGACCATGGAGGACGGGGGCAAGATGCTAACCTGCAGGGCTGGAACGCCTCTCCTCTCCGACCCAGATCTGGAAGACTCGTGGAAGCTCGACGTGTACCGTAAGTGATCAGCAACAGCATTTTCTGCATGTGTAGTATAATTATTGAATAGAAAACTTCCTGTATCTTGTATGAACTAATGACGTTCGTCTTCGAATTGAATGAAGCCTACAGATGGAAATACTATAACCAAAAACGTATTGGTTCTGACAAAGCAACGAGAAGATAAAGAGGATATGGAGTTTTGACGTCGTTATGTTTTTATAATATTTATTATTATTATTATTATTATTATTATTATTATTATTATTATTATTATTATTGAGTAGTCAAATATATGATTTTTAAATTTTAGACATGTTAAGCGCTTAATGTAATAACTAGAAATTTTCTCAACAACAATTGAGATATCAGACCAAATGATTTCCTAAAATTAGTAAATGTACGTACCGTAAAGACATCCTACTTTGGTCATGTAGTATATCTGTTCCAAAGAAGAAATGACTGGGGTATTTTTCCTTCAGATTCTCTTAGCTACTGTCGATTCCGCCCGATGAGATACTACCGGGAGAAATGACTCAGGCCGATGACACCGCAGTCCCTCTGACTGAGAGGTCCTAGTTTCGAATCCCGATGATGACAGGATTTTCGACACTAGCTTGTCAGCTGTATCGAATTCAATCGCTGGTTGGAAGAGAATTCTAGCGGCCGGCTTCTCTCATCGGTAGTTTTCCATCTAGCGGAATGCCAACTAGGGGATCAACACTAGGGGAATGCCAGAACAGTACCCTAACAAACGGGCCACGGACCACGCTTGATCTTTCCCACCTGTTCCTTGTCCTATATTCACCGCTTACTCCCACAGTAATATGCACTACACTACCACATACCGGGAGACCGGTGGAGAGCTTAGAGCTTGTTCCGGCTGGGGCGGTGGTGGGAGATACCTGGTTGGGGAAAACTCGCTAGCCGATGGTAGGTAGCGTTGGATCTCGCCATACAGCGGGAGAAGACCACTTCCATCTGATGAGCATAGACATTACGGGACTAATGACATAGTTGTTGACGCACCCGGAATTATTAAAAATCAATCAACCGCTGAATGCGAACGAAGCTAGTAGCACGAACGGCTACTACAGACAGACTTTTTCCTGTAAACCAATTTTCCGGTATCAAAAATTCACAACCGGTTAAAAGAAGCAATTTACTACTTATAGGATTTATGATTTTTTTTCCATATCAGGGACAATAAATGTGCCACTTTCTGCTTTTATTAAATTACTTTTTCCATACGTAATTACATAGTAGGCTAGAAAATAAAAATTAAAATGAATTCAAGCATAAATGAAAGAAACGTGAACATTTGTTGTTTTTTCGTGCCAGCATCGTTCGAAAGGAAGTTATCAGTTTATGCGAATATTCTACGCCAATCATTTGCACATGCTCTTACAAAATATTGACGAGTGGTGAAAAACCCCTAATGAATATTTAAAATCTATTGATATTTTATTATAGATTAATCCCTGTGAATATTCGATTACTTCTTTTGTTTCGAATTTGCGAAATTGAGACTTAATGCATTGTAAATATCAAAACACAATTTTGTAATATGTTTAGTCACCACTGGCCCAATAGTAGCCCAAAAACGTTCAAACTGATGTTCTGTATCTTTGATTTTAGCAGATTTTTGTCTCAATATTTTGCTTTCAAAATTCTTGTGACCATAAACAACCATTTAAACCTTTTTGTGATAGCTGTCGGGGCAATAACGAGCGGGTTATTTCCAACTCTCGGTAGTTACATAAAAATTAACTGTGACATGTCCCATTCATGAAGTTGACAATATCGACTGAAATTTATACTATATAAAATGTTGTTGATTCTAAGTTGTTATCCGTTCTTAATTCTTGGAAAAGGAAAAATGTGGCGACCACTGATTTTACTTTTTTCAATGAACTGATGTTCCCCTCTATAAAGTCATTATAGAATAGAGTGTTACTGTGAATCAGGAAATGTGTAGGCTATTGATGCAATCGTCATAACTATTTAGTTTGTACCACCTGTCTTCAGTCTTGATGAGATCCCGCAATAACCGATATTACCACAATATTTGTTTTATATTCGCTTCATTATTTTTTAATTTTCTACTATTAGCACATTTTAATTTCAATGATAAGTCTATGTTCTCTGGGTAATCCAATGTTCTCTGCATTCATTAATTCTTGTTGATTTTAGTTACTGCTTATTTTTATTCTTCTCTCATTTCAAAACGCGGCTACGCCGATGTATCAAACAACAATAAACACAGCATTTTAGAAATTAATTTGTAAAAAATGAACATTCCAAGAATTTTATCTGATACTTTTTGCAAGATAAGAGGTATTCTAAACCCATGGATATGTAGAGAATCAGTGTCGTGAGCACATCACTAGTGATGCTACTGTCTGTTACTGACTGTGTTTGGTAATTTTAGAAGTATAATGTGTGGGCATCGCATGCAATAATTATGACACCGAAAAGAGAGAAGACCATTAACATAGCTAGTCTGGAATTTGTTTCCATCAAAATGTGAGGGGTGCAATCTGAAGGTTTTAGATCTACAATAAGATTATTCTTAATATTTACGATGTTTATATTTGTTATTCTTGCTGTTACTAACATTTTCTGCTTCCGGAGGTAATCTTCTAAATTGAGAGGGAGCTTGTTCGTCTGAAACATTAAACACAAGTATAATGTGCAACAATATTTTGTTAATTGCGTTTGCTAATTTGTTTTTTCTCAACCCTGATTCGAGCAAATAAATTACTTTCTAAAAAGATTCATGTCGAAATAATTTCAGAGAAAAGGGAATAAGCAGCTTTGCGAAATTCCAGATTCCATCGAAATAAAGTGACATTCTTCAACGGGAATGAGATACAGGATGGTTGTGCCGACCTCTGAAACCAAGGGACCTACCTCGTCCATCTTAAGAGCATCTACCCCCGATTATTCGAATTTTCCGCTCAATTTACGCCCAAGGTCTTAAGCATCCCCGGAGACACGCAGGGAGTCTGGGTATGAAAAAGACAAGAATAAAACAGGAAATAAGCTCGCGAAGAGGCAATATTAGCCGCCGATGCTGAAATGGAAGTGCAGGTTCATTTCCATCGAACCGCCCTCTTGCCTCAACTCCCACCTCTGCAGCGGGGACCGTAGGGAGCTGTTGCCTGTTTCTGAGATAGCTTCCGCAGGGAGATGCGAGTGTGCTCTATTTGCACTCGGGGACAATCGGCGAATCTAAGGTTCCCACCGCCGGTGAGGGCATGCCTTCCGGACGGCGCCTGAGGGAGCAGGCACGCACCGGGGCTGCATCTGGCGTGCGGGAGCGGCATATTGCGAGCCGCCTCCTGGAGGTGTGTACCCGCAGCCCTTGGCAGCGTCGTTTTAAAGAGGACACAGTTCGTACGTGGAAGACGATGCGTGTTTGCGTGCTGTTTCTCTCGCCTTGCCCCGCCATCTCCCCGCTTGCTCCCCGCCAGCAGCCCCCCTGCCAGCAACTCTCCAGCCCCTCGCCTGCAC